TGTCTTAGACAAGTATGAGATGCACAAGAAATAGAGCCTAGAATCAGTGTGAAGTCTTCAAAGCCATTCCCTGGCAAATTTAGGAAAGGAACTTAATGTACGTGAAAATTTGGCTTTTCATAGTTAATTTCAAGTGTTTTACTTCATCCTCTGCTGATGTCAGGTACTATGATGTCACAACAGCTGCTGGTGGTAGTGATTGTGTTCTGAAAGGCTGAAAAAGGTCTTTTTGAACCTAAACAATATCTACGATTCTACGAAGCAAAGGTTAAGCAGCAGGAAAGAAAAATATTTTTTCCTTCCATGCAAACAATTGCAATATATTGTGCTGATATAATTTCTGCCTAAGTCTTGACTCACATGCTGTTATATTGCTTTCGTTCTAAGAGCACACACATCATTCCAATCAAAACACATTTTCCTAATTTAGTTGTATATTTACTATAGTATTACAGAATTATTTACTTGCAAACACACACAGCAAGCTACATGTGGTTTCTGTATTGTCTGAAGTCTATATTATTATAGGCTTCCACATTGAAAATTGGTTTTGGTAACAAAAAATGAGTACACAAAATACACAATCCATAACCCATCCCATCCTGAGCTAATATTTACCAAGCCATATTCAGCAGCCAATTATTTCCCTTTGTTTTGGCTATGCAAGAAGTGCTCCAAACATATGAAACAGTGTTTTAGAGGACTGTTGTATGACATTTATGGAAATCTTAGTAGTTAATAAAAATTACAAAGAATAGTAAATTAAATTCACGATTTATAGTCAAAGTTTAGTTAAGAATTTTATTTCAATTCATTTTGTGAATGATACAGATGAGAAATATATGTAACAACTTTTCTAAGAAGCTGCATACTTAGATTAGTTGCATATTTCCCTCTGTATAGTTGATAGTATCTGTTTCTTCTGAGAACTGAGAGAAGCACTTCTTAGAGATGACAGGATAGAGGAACAGGAGGAAAGAGGCAATATCTGAACAACAGTTCTTACTCATTTGCAATGTAGACATCTTCGTGCATCTCAAGTGCTTGTATGTCCTGCTCCAGTTCTTTCAACTTTAATTCCAGCCTTTGTTTATGCATCTTCTTGTGCATGGTGTCTATTACTACTGAAAGACCCAGATATTCACGCTGCGTTTCCTGCCAGTTCTTTTTCAGGGCCTGGTGCCATTACATGCAAAGGAAATAGATGAGAAAAACTTAGAGTTTATATGTACATAAACTACTTGGGCTTCTTTTTTTTTTTTTTGTAAGATTGCATTTGGAAATTGTCACTGCAATGTAAAAATGATAGATAAATATATGAATAATGTGTAATCATCTTAACTGGACAAGTCAATAATTTTACCTCACTCTGATGCAATATAAGGAATGTCTTTAAAAATCTCCATGCTGTGGTCATAAAAAAACTACAGTCTTAAGAAGTCAACAAAACAACAATTAAGCTGGTCAATGAAGGATGAACTATAAAAATGCTAAAATGAAAAAAAGTATGTCAGTGTGACAAACAGTCAGCTGTGTAACCTAACAGGAATTCAAGGAAGCCTGTACACTTCACTTCCAGCCCTCAGGATCTTCAAGAAAAACTGCTCAATATAAAAGAAGAGTGACTCTTCCTTATTCTATAAAGTCTCAATATAAGAGACGTCCTGTGCTTTAAAGTAGTCAACTTTGGTTGCTCCATTATACCTAATCCTAATATCCTCACTGAGGAACTACTAGAATTCATAAAAGCTGCCTCAAGTATCACTCAAGTGCCTTCTTTTCTCCAAAATGCAACTGGAATCACCTTACAAACTGCACTACAGAAACCATTTCCCCATAAACAGCAACCTGACCCCACGGATGTCACCACATCACACAGAGTGGTGCTGCCTACCTTGAGCAATCACAAGAGTACCAATACTTGGAACTGCAGCCAAAACTTCTCAGCACTTTCAGGTCATCTCACCATCACCTTAATTTTTTTCATAACTGAGACTTTGCTCAGACCATGGACACCAACTTGACCCTACAATATTTTACCTTCTATAAACGGCTTTGAAAAACTTCTCAATAATTGCATTCCCTTCCTAATCTACATTTACAATAACATCTGTAGGCAATTTATTTATCATTTGGACTAAAAAGCCTGTTACTGACCCTGTGTACAATAATTTCAGTAACTGCCACCTCTCTCGAATGCTGCTGTGAGAAGAATTACCTTACTAGAGAAAGTGAATTGTATCCTCCATATATAAAGCCCTGAGACTAAAACCCTGCCTAAAACAAATAAATAAATGCTGTAATACAGAACTTACTCACAAAACTGATAATTCAACACCAGAGACAAACCTTTATCCTCTAATATAGGCTGAATGGAATCAGCCTATGGTGGAAAAATAAGATTTAAATCTTCTCTTTACATCCTCACAGGTACTGCAACAATTGCTTTTACTTTCCCTCCTCAAAAGTATGATCAAAATCTACACATCCTGTGCATGCATTTATGAAGTTTTAGTAGAGTTTATTCAGTGCATCAAATGCCCTCATGAAAACTGTGTGGGTGAACTTAACAATCACACCTAACAAGGAACTGAGACAGCAGTCAGTATATAACACAATATGCCCATCAGTGAGAAAACACTTCTCCAAAAATTTTTTGCCTCTCAATTGTGACGCCAGAGTATCAAATGTGCATCAAAGTGCCACAAGTGTCTTCAAAAATGAAGAACTGAAGTTAGTCTCTTGGGAACAAAAGTGTTCAGCCCTCCTCCACAACTGAAACTGGATCCAACTGGCACTTGATTTGATGGCACGTTGTGATTTCCAACCTCATGTCCTTCTCTATTATTATTAAGCACTTTTTCTCACAGTCTGGCTAACTGATGAACATACTGAGGTTAAATTTAGAGGGATAATTAATACATATTTAGCTTTGAAGATTGTTGATTCTATTCCAGAACTCAAGGGCTCTTATGCTTAAAAACTTCTCTGATTTTGTCAACTGTTACGAATTAACAGAAAAAAATGGACTCCTGCTGCCAACAATAAGAACAAAATAATTTTTAATATGAACTAATATTTTACTGATTCAAAGCAGTGTATTTATTGCATAGCAATTCATGCTTTTTGCATATTCATATTAAGCATCTAAGTGATGTCCATAAGGGTTATTCCACCAATCTTCATATACAAATATCTACATAAATTTTAAATCCCTACCTGAACATGTGAGACTTAGAGTAACAAGGGTATTTATTTACTGTCTTGTAGTGATACTTGTCTTTGCAATGCAAGGCTGTAAAGTACTTAAATAAAGCTCCAGGTCTACCAGGCATCAGGTACAGTTTACAAATATATAGTCATTAAAAGAAATATCTCTCCAAAAACTTTCATAGAACAGTCATTCATAGCTTGTTTTAAATAATTCTTTGTGTATCTTAGTAAAAAATGGTTTGGCAATCATAGAACACAGTGAATTTTAAAACATTAGAGCATGTACTGTCACAATTTGCTCTGTCCCTACAGAGTGGAGAGATCAAAAGCAGATCATGACTCCCTCTATAAAACTATCCTTCACAGCTCCTCCACAAGCAATGCAATATGCTGACCACTATTGCTATGGGCTAGATCACAAACTGAATATCCAGTGCTATATATGGAATTCTAATACATGCTGGATCAGTGAGAAATATGTACTGCATTTATCAACATTCTATTTTACTCTCATAAAATCCCAACCAAAGTAAGCATAATGGAGAGTTAAAAAAATGTTGGCACAAATTATTTCCCTTTATTTTTGTAAGGTCATGAGGCTTGATTTCGGTCTCAGGCATCTCTTGCCACGTATTCTTTCAAATCAGAGAGTGCACATGTGTTCACTAGCAATGTCAATTATTTTAAAAGACAGGAATTCCCATATGTCTACAGCTGAGCACTGGGTAGAAGCCACATACCCTGGGGACACTAATTCCTCCTGACAATATAACTGCGTAAGTAAGCCCAGGAAAGAGCAAATGTTTTGGGAAAAAAAATGAATTCTGAGGTAATAAAAACAATTTAAAGATTTTTAAATTTAAAAAGTATTTCAGTGCATTCTTGTCTTTTAAAAATATAGAACATCATTTTAATCAAACTAAATGCAGAACTGTGAGCAGCTGAACTCACATGCCTTTTTGCACACATATTTTTGCTGCATTGTTAACTTGTTGGACCAGCTTTTCCCATGCCTTTCCCACCATAAAAATATCTTAATCTTCACCCTTGCTGTTTTGTTCTTTGTATTGCTGTCGATGCAATGCCCTCACCTCTCTCCCATACTCCTTCCTAGCTTCTACTGCTTGCTGCATAAGCAAGAGACACCACTGTGCTGGCCATTTCAGATCTTGCCAATTAACCAGTTCAGCTTTGCAAGTAAGTCAGACACTGTTTTCTCTCTAGATATTCTGCTGGCTTTTTTTTTTTTTTTCATTTTCTTTTGGGTGGGAATTCAGCATCTTAGAGATGTCCATCCATCTGCTAATTTGTTTCAGGGGGATGCTTAGAGGCAGAGATCATAGTAATGTAAGCTTCATTTTCATAGGAAAATTTGGCTAAAATGTCAGGAAAAATTCCAGTTCAAGGATGAGATATACTTTTAAAATGTCTCTTTTCTGCTCTACTTCTTTTATGGTATTATTTCTCTTTAGAAAATCTTGTGCAATAAAAACTGTATGAAAGATAGTATCTAAAACAGCTTGACAAAATACAATTTTTTTCAGTCATAGTTCTACTAATACATTGCTATTTCGTTCTGTTTTATGGGTTTGCCACATTTTAAATCATTACTGACTAAAGTCAGTGAGGTCACAATGTAAATATAGAAACTGCCAACAAAAGGGGCAGTATTATGCGTTGGGAAAGAAAAGAAATTGTATTCTTCCATGATTAACTGTCACATAGGTGATTTTTTCCAAGTCATTAAGGGAGATAGGAATCTAACAGAACTGAAAACCGGATTAAAACTGCAGCTCGATCAGCTCCTTTCAGTTGTTTACAACTGTTCTACAGCTCCACCTAGTGAAAAAGTCGCTAACTCATTTGTCTCGTTTTAAAAATCGAGTATAGTTGTGTTATTTATATGGACTTACATCGCTTCATTTAATCTTTTGTGTTACTAATTATACTACATCAAAATATGCACCTGCAGAACATTTGTCCTTTCTTCATCAGAGAGTTTTTTCATGGCTTTCTTCTTGAGGTCCTCCAAGATACTGGCCTCATATTCTTCCTTAGCTCTCTTCCTTTCTTCATTTCTCCGTGCTACATATTTTGGTGTAACACCATAATCCTATAAGGGTAAGGAAGAAGTTCCTTATAAGTGCTTTTAAGAAGGAAACAGAGATATCTGTCATCCATAGTATATTACATTTGCAAGGCAGCTTGGAATGACAACTTGTGCTACTGAGCAATAAAATCTGAAATTGCTCTGTTTTCAGAAGTATCAAACATAATTGTCTCTGTAGCCTGAGCAAAATATATAAACAACTTCCTTCCGTTTCTTTTTGCAACCTTGGGAGACAAGAGAATTCAGAAACCAAAAGGTCTATTTACAAGAACTGATGACTGAGGAGTTTGAAACCTGTTAACGACAGGCAAGCTAATTTACATTTTTATATGGTGTCAGATTCTATGATTGGAAACACGTTCCTTGGAGACTTTCTTGAAAGGTGATCCTGTGTCCTGATTTTTGCTGCCCATTGCACGCCAGAAGAGGGTGAATAGTGTTCACACATACACGAATATTGAACTAGTTAGGAAGGATAAACCATCCCATACTGGATGCTACAGAATGGTCTCTGTGAGGAAAAAATAACTTCTGAATACCCCAGATATTCTTGGGGAACACATCTATTTTGCCTTAACCTTGTAAAATGAAGCTCATCTAGCTTTGCCAGAAGAAACCAGAGTCTACCTTGTTTCTACTAAATGCTAAGTGATTCCCAAACCTTTTAGTGTTGGGCAGCACTATGACTAGCATTGTTTAGGTAGAAAGATACTGCAAGGCCTTCAGATTCTTTTTCGCATCTTCTCTGTCATGACGTATGTTAATGTCATCTCTCTTCTTGCATAATGCTCTGTCATGAGTTACCTGTTTAGGTTAGCCAGACTCTTAGACACATCTTGTTTTCCTGGGTAGCAGAATGGACTGTTCTTGTGCTTGGAGGAGGTTGTACTTAAAAGCATCAATCTTCTTTGCTTGCTCCTACTTACCAGTTCCCCTGAATAAGCTGCTGTTTGCTCTCCTGAAGTACAGGGTCTGTATACTATCACCTGTCTCCCTGAGGAGAAGTGGATCTTGAACTACTAGATGGCCTGTGCAACCCAACGTGCAACAGATTGTCACACCTCGACCAATTATTTCTTGTTTGTAAGCAGAACAGCAGGAGCACTGGCTGGCTCTAACACCATCTGTGTTAAAAAGCTCTTCCTGACGTGCTCCAGGGACCTTTTCGGATCGCTCTCATCCCATTGTGTTGTCCTTTCAGGAGATATCAAGGAGGGTGAAGTCTTCCATAAGAAGCTACACTGTGATCTGAAGAGTTCCTCAAGATGCTTAAAGAGAGTCCATCCAGTTCCTCACCTTATTGGGTCCTCCATAACAAACACACTTTTTACACTCACTGGCCTTTGCTCTGATCCTGAACGCATGAGCTTGACTGGTCTGTTGCCAATTCCATAGAAGAGCTCTATGTATTTGAACAGCTCCTTCATCCAAAGAGCAACCTTCCCCTCTTTTTCCCTGCCTATCTTTCCTGAAGAGCCAACATTCATTCATCACAGAATTCCATTTGTCTCCCTATTAGATACTTCCTGGGTTCCCAATGCAATACATATGCTATTGCTTTAGCAGCATCATTCTGCCAAATCCTTTGGCTGACAGAATAAGCAAATTAAGGTTAAGGCAAGGAACAACTCTAGTGCCAGTGATTTCTTCTTGATTAATTTAAAAGGTCTACCGGAAACAGCAGTGGGATCTAAACATCTCAGAAATGAACATTTAATAGGAGAATGCAATAGTGAACCAAAACCAGGTATTGCTAATAGTATTTCAGCAATAACTTAATAAAACTTACCTTTTTTTTAATGTATTTTGGGGCAAGTCCTGAAGTTTCAAGGAGATATTTATCTCCTTGTCTTGTGTCAACACAAAAAGGTTGAGGCTTTTTAGGCACCCCCCTGATAGCAGCAACTGCATTTGTATTTATAAAATTCTTTTTGCTCTGAATTCCCATAACTGGGCGGTCTGTCCTCCGTGGCACTGATAATGCAGGTGGTTTCTTACTATTCTGTTCTTTTTTTCCTGTGAATGGATCATGTAAACATTCTTAACAATCACATGAAGAGCTTCACAATTTAATTTTATTACACTTTTCAAAAGGGAAACACTATGTACAGAATTCCATAAAAGTAGAACCCAACAGTATCTACAATTAAAGAATTGACTGTCAATTAACTGCTACAAAAATTGGTGTGCTTGTTTGGCCTAACAGAAGTTTCATAACCTAGGAAATACTATGTTGTTTCAGATGGGTTTTCCTCATAATATGTCACTCATTTCCTCTTAACTGCAGTAGTACAGGACTTTTTTCAAATGCAATTATGGCTGCTTTTAGTAGGGATGCTCGTTGTCAGGGCCCTTAGGCAATAACTGCCCCATCCAGTCTCACTTGGGGCATCCACACCACACTGGTCAGGAGCCCCAATTCAGATCAGCCCTGTGGTGTCAGTGCCTGACTGAGCTGTCTCAGCCCTGTCTGCCCCTAGTCTTAGTTCTGAAGAGCTGTGTGGAATCACTGGAGGGACCTGGCCTGTTACCTCATCTTCCCCGACTGACAGGACAGACTCTCCTCACCATCCCACTCTCCTTTCCTGCCTCTGGTGCGGTGAGACTGCACCCTGTTGGTGAGATCTTTGACCAGCCTGCACTGTGGTTGCCCTCAATGTCTGGCTCATCTCACCTCAGGGAAGAGCCCTGCTCTTACTGCTTGCTCCCTGACACTTGTAAACAACTTCTCACAATCCTTTCTCCACAGAATATAGAAACTCTTCCATTTTAATGTAATCTTTTCTCCAAGGCACCAACAGAAATTCAGGAGTCTCCTGAGTAGTCTTACTTTAGGTGAGCAATGAAAGACTATTTCCCTCCATATTTCCCACTAGACATAACTCTGATTCACAGTCATTAGCATAGATAGTGATTTGATTCAGGTTGTCTGAGTTCACATTCTTCTTTGGCAGAAAATAAGTGTCATGTCACAAGTGACATAACTCATTCCTACAACAGCTGGTTTCCTGGTACTGACCCCATGAATCAGTACTTTCCTGGGGTTTGTTTTTTACAACTGACAGCTTGCCATAACTTATCACTGTAAGACACACAGACTTAACTCTCTATTTAAAAAAATACATTACTTTGCATATATTTCCTGTTTACACTTACTTGGTGGTAGCTTGGGTTCCTTTGAATGTTTCTGCAGAAAATCTTTTGGAGATGGCACTGCAACTTTTGCTGGTCCCATAGTTTTCCACCGAGATTTATTTTTCTCTGCTTCATGTTTCACAAATGGTCTGAATTTGCTTATATACCTTAGGGGTTAAAAATAGCCATAAAGATATTAAGGGTCAGGAAAAGTATTAAAAGTACTTCTTCAAAGAATATACATTTTTTTACAGTAGTTCATGGCAAAAGCCTAAGCTGTTTTGTTTTGTACTCTCTCCCAAATAAAGGACATCATTCACACAACCTCCATGCTAAGGCTAAATCCAGCATTGCACTGACAAACAGGTTTTCTGGTTCTGAAGTTAGCTTGCTTCGTCCTTCTCTTTTGTCTCCAAGGTCAATATTGCCACACTTTGGGATATGGTTCCCAAATGTATATACTGAACACATACCTTTTAAAGCTCAACAAAACCTAAAATTTGGAAATAACCTGCTTTGAGTATTGCTTGCATGAGTAAAGTGTTTTTGTGAGGTTGTGTGTTATACGCTTTGGTCTTTATTTCGCAATTAACTTCATTTTGAAAAGTTTTATTTTCAATGTGATTATTTGTTTTGTTTAAAAAATGCAGCCAAAATATGCAGCTGTTGTGCACCTATATGAAAGTAGCAATCACAAACCTACTTTGCTGGATTTTCTGTATTTGAAGTTTGTAGTCTGAGAAAGGTGAAAATGCCAATGCATCTTGGCCATTTCAGAAGGTGCAGTTGCAGTACATTTAGGGCCAAACACACCTGAGAAAAAGCTTGGCTGGTTTTAAAAACAGTGAGGTTTGTATTTACAATGGGAACATTCACTGCTTCATTCTATGGGATGAAACATTGTTACAGAGGTATGAAAAACCTTATGCTTCAGAAAAGATGTCAAATGCAGTTGAGAATTGGACAGAATGTCCTTTATCATCAGTTTTTCCTATTACTGTCCACTGTATCATTGTCTCAATGTTCCTGCAGAACCATCTGTTACAGACTATTATGAGAGATTAGATGAGATGGGTGACTGCTCCAAAATAGCACAGCACACTGTACATTTCTTATATTCCACAGATCCGAACTGTGATCCTGAAGGATTGCAATCAGGGGTGGGTTTGGCACTGAAACAGCTAATGTGAAAATCAGTAAGAGCTCAGACATGAAAAGCTCTACTAGGCACATGGTATGCACACACTGCTGGTTTGGTCTAATGTTGCATATGGCATTGTAACTTCTGCTTTAATCAAAATCTCCAAAAGAAGCCAAATGCTGATCATTAGCTGATTAGCAACATCTTGCCTCTGTCTGAAGGACTGAGCTGTCACAGATGTTTGCCTGAGGGAGAACTCCCTGCTCCTGAAGTGAAAGCTACCTCACTGTGCCTTTTAAAATCTCTCCATCTTTAGGAAATGTCATACTAATTTATGGTAGACAAAAGCTGATGAAAAACTGTGCTCTTCTTTCATGGAAAAAACCCAAACTTGTTTATGAAAAAAACTATACCATGTTTTCAGGTAAGGAAAAAACCAACCCCAAACATTATATAGAGTACAACCTAATTTATGGAAATACTGAAATAGGGAGAAAGAAACCATGTAATGCTGTGCCAGAGAATGTGTATCACAGTAGAAACACTGATAGAAGCTCTTGTACCTGAGCTGCAACTGTCCAATACATGTATTTTTATTTGATCATAACATTAGAATGTGTTAGAGGACTTCATTAATAATGTGGTTATTTTGTTGTTTGGAGATTTGTTCTCCAAAATCAGTAAGAGGATTATGTACTTAAGATTATATATAATTCCAGGAATACCTCTAATTATAAGGAATGAGGTCTTATTTATTTTTTTTCTGTTATATTCAGGGCAAAGAGCTACAGACAGAGGCACAAACACACCACACTGATAATCACATTTGCTAGGATTGGCATTGTGAGCACATGGGAGAGAAAGGCAGAGACTTTGTGAGGAATTTGCCCTAGTGAGGTTCACAGTCTTGGAATGAGAGAATGAACAAAAAGACACTGAGTTTATTTCATACTGGCATAAGGTAAGGACATCTTTTGTAGGCAGCTATTGGCATTCCTTTAGGCAAAGAGATGTGGCTGTTGTTTCATTACAGTGACTTTCTAGGCTGAGTGGCTAAATGCTGTCACACAACAATATCATTGGGTTAGAGAGGGTTGCAAGGAAGAAAATATTGTTATGGGGTACTTCAGAATCTAATCCATTCAGCATTTGGCAAGGGGAAAAAAGACAATACATCTGTAAAGAGACAGAAGAAAATGACACCTATTACTTAGGTGTCGTTTTGGGGCATCAGAGTTGGGGAAAATCAGGATGTTTGCTGTGGTTTAATGAGCAGTATCTGGTGAGTGGAGATACGTGAAATACGGATGATTTCACTTGATAAAAGTCCAACCAGCAACTAGATTTTGTATACATTAGTTGAAACTGGTGAAATCATGCTATTAACCAGGTTTGACACTGTTGTTACCAGCTGAATGTTTGGCACACAGCAAACCAAAGCAGAAACTGGGGTGACAACAAAAGTCAATGAGATCAAGAGGGGATTTAGTCAGATTATATCCAATCCAGGGAACCCCTTGCCTAAACTGAACCTGATGGTCATGGAGTAATCAAATCCTTGAATTGTATTAGACAGGAGTGGATTTAGTGTGCTGTGTGCCTTGCCATACTGTCCTTTCACTTTCCTTTTTCCTCTGTCAAAGGTATCCTTTACTCATATTGGAAATAAACAAGCAAAAAAAGGTCTATTTTTACATTACAAGATTCAGAACTAGGAATCTCACAAGTCTGAATCCTTTTACCTGAAAAGGGATGAGTGTCACGGGTACTTCTGCTCATTTTAAAGCTATTGAGTTATGACCTATATTAACCTTTCACTGAAGATGCAGTTTTCCTTCATATAAATGACAGTTTATATCTACATTTACAGATATATGTAACAGCTTTCTGTTATATAAACAGGGACTTGAAAAAACAATGTTTGCATAACTATTGTCAAAAGGCCTTTTTTATATTTTTAAGGTAAGAGATGAGAAAGAAGCAAAAGAAACAATGTCAGAGGGCACACCTGACACATGAAAAGTATGGAAGTGTGGCACTGAGAAAAACAAATCAGAAGGCCCAACTTTTCAGCTGCTCACTGAGAAGTTGCTCTAAGTGCGAATAACAAAGGTGTCATGTCATTCCTCTTCATGGAAAGGGTGCTCTGTAAATTATCAATGAACAGGGTGACGGGAGACACCAAACTGAATCATGAGCAGGCTGTAACACCTCAGATGTTAGCAAGTGACTCATAAGGAGGAGCAGAATCATAGGATTTTCAGGGTTGGAATGGACCTTACAAATCATGTAGTCCTAACAGGGACACATCCCCACCAGAGCAGGTTGCATAAGGCTTTATCCACCCTGGCCTTGAACACTGCCAGGGTTTGGGCTTCTACTACCTCCCTGGGCAACCTGTGCCAGTGTCTCACCACTCTCACAGTAAAAAACTTTTTCCTGATATCTAATTTAAGTTTATCCTCTTTCAACTTGTACCCATTGCCCCTTGTCCTGTCACTGCAGCTCCGAACAAAGAGTCCCTCTCTGGCTCCCCTGGAGCTACTTCAAATATTGAAGAGTTGCTGTGAGGTCTACACATAGTCTTTTCCAGGCTGAACAGCCCCAACTCCCTCAGAATGTCTTCATTAAGGGAGATGCTCCAGTCCTCTTATCAGCTTCGTGGCCTCCTCTGGACTTGTTCCGACAATTCCATGTCCTTCTTATGTTGAGGGCACCAGAACTATGCAGATACCGGATTATTTTTTTTTTTAGAAACACTTATTCCTCGTTAGCTGCACTGCCTTACCAGAACCAGCCACCCTGTCTGCAAGCGGCTCTGTCACCTACCTAGCGGGTTTGGCAGGCTTCTCCGGCCGGGGCGGGAGGTCTCTGCCATCCATCTGGGCGCTCGGTGTGGCCATC